CAGGTGAATATTTTTTTCAAAGTTCATCATTAGATTTTGTTAATGAATTTTGTAGTATTACTGTTATTATTATTATTATTAGTAGTAGTAGTATTATGGCAACATTCATAACAATAACAATTTAAACCAAGCATTCAACATTACTTGGTAAGTGCGTTAGAACAATGGTTGCTTCTGAGCAGCAAAACTTTTGTGCCGAAAGTTTCAAAGAAACAAAACTGGTCAACTATTGGTCAACTGATTTGGAACTGTCACTCAAAATCAACTGACCAATAGAGTGCAGGTGAAAGGCCTCTTCTAAGACCCACCGCCAAAACAGTGATTCCAGAAGCACATATATATACGTATATATATATATATATATATATATATATATATATATATAAAATCAGCAATTAGAAAAAAATGAAAGCAAAGACTGGAAAAATGAATAATACATTTAAAAAAAAATGAGTGAAAATGAGTAGCAATCTTATTTTTTGTATTTGGACATTTTGGTACTTCATATTTTGCTTGTGTTTTTTTTATGATTTTCTTTGAAACCCCAGTCCATAACTTTATGTTTTTTATGGTGAAAATGTTCTGCCCTCTGCCTTTGAGGATTTCTTGCCCCAAAGGTCAAACTTCAACATTTTAGCATAAAAAGCATCATAAGTAACATAAAAGCATCTATGCCGCTTTTGTGCCGTCTTGTCCTGCATTATTTCAAAATAAAAAAAAATCAAAAACTTGCATAAATGGTCACAAAATAAGTGAATGCAGTGAATCTCAAGCCATCGATCTAATAGCTGCTAAATGTTGAACAGTGCTGCTAACTAGGACAGAGGAGCTGGTTAGCATTAGCTAAGTGAGGTGGAGGTATAGCAACCATCCATGCTAAAGCTTTAGGCGTGAGCCAGAAAGTACGACACAAATTTTCTTCTTTTGAAGTTCTTTTTCTTAATATAAATGATCAAGGAACACATAAAAATTCCTTTTCACTAATTACAATTTACAGGCCGCCAGGGCCGTATTCTCATTCTTACAGGAATTCTCTGAGTTTCTATCAAGTCTAATAACGCTTTCAAATTAAATAATAGTTGTTGGAGATTTTAACATCCACTTTGACAATCCTCAAGATGCACTTAGTAAGGCATTTATATCTATTATAGACTCCATAGGTTTCACCCAAATCATAAAGGGGCCCACACACTACCACAACCACACTCTAGACTTAATACTGACCTTTGGTGTAGACATAGATAACTTAGCCATTCTCCCCCAGAGCACAGCAGTCTCTGACCATTACTTAATCTCATATGAAATTCACTTTAGTGGTAATGTGCGTTCATCACCATGTTATTGTGTTAAACGGACAATAACTCCCTCCACAGCTGGTAGCTTTATTAGAAACCTTCCTTCTGTCAGCTGTCCAACTAATCCTACCGAGTTATGATATTATGACCAAGTTCTGAGAGGATCATTTTCGATCTACTCTAGATAGTGTGGCCCCATTAAAAAGTATAATAGTAAGGCAGAAAAAACTGCCCCTTGGTATAATGACCACACTCAGGCTTTAAAACAGACCACCAGACAACTAGAGCGAAAATGGCGCCTCACTAAGCTAGAAGTGTTCCAGTCCGCCTGGAAGGAGAGCCTTACAGACTATAGAAGAGCACTTACTGCAGCACGCTCAGCCTCTCTCTCCTCTCTCATAGAAAACAATAAGAATAATCCTAGATTACTTTTCAGCACAATCTCTAAACTAACAGAGAACAAAACAGTTAGTGAACCCCAGATGCCATCAGCCTCCAGCAGCAATGATTTTATGAACATAAAATTGAAATAATTAGGCAGAAAATTCAGAAACACAGTTAAACTCCTCAAACCTGCTTCCCCTTAATGCCAGCCCCAATCCTGAGAATATTATGATCCCTGCAGAGAGGCTGGAATCGTTTACCTTACTCCAAGAAAATGAACTAGTTAAAATCGTTTCTTCCGCAAAATCATCCACCTGTATGTTAGATCCGAATCCTACAGGTTTACTTGAGAAAATTTTGCCAGAAATAACCAAGCCTGTTCTGTCAATAATAAACTCCTCTCTTAGCCTTGGGTACATCCCAGAATCTCTTAAACTAGCAGTAATTAGACCGCTGATTAAGAAAGCTAACCTCGATCCATGCGAACTATCAAATCATAGACCCATCTCGAATCTCCCCTTTATATCAAAGATCTTGGAAAAAGTTGTAGCAAAACAGTTAAGCTCCTATCTGCATAGTAATCAAGTACACGAAAAATTTCAATCTGGCTTTAGGCCACATCATAGTACAGAGACAGCACTAGTAAAAATTGTAAATGATCTATTATTATTTTCTGACCAAGGAAATGTGTCTCTGTTAGTCCTTCTCGATCTTAGTGCGGCATTTGACACAATAGACCACACTGTCTTACTAGAAAACCTTGTAGGGGTAACAGGAACAGCTCTTTCCTGGTTCAGGTCCTACCTCACTGATCGCTATCA